GGATAACTTCATCCGAAGTCAAAACAAAAATTACACAATTCGATATTTACATCTAGTTAACAAGGAAAGTGAGTTTCGACAAACTCACTCGAGCCGTTTTAGATAAGTAATGTTTCCTCAGGCAAGTTGTACTTTATGTTTCCCATCAAAATATTTTTTCTGTATCTCAGACAAATCCTTTGATGCATTTATTATTTTAATTTTACCGTCTTGAGCACGAATATACATAATTATCTTTTCCCAATTTCTTTCTTAAAATCTTTCTTGGAGCTGATTTTTTTCTATCGACATGGGTATGTACTCCACGAGAATCAATTCATCGATTTCCTCCGTCATAGAAAATTACCTGACATTAGATTCAAGCCTAGATAAAGACTTATGTTGCTACGTCAATTCCAATAAAGGCCAAGACATCCGCCGTTTTGCTGTAGATATCGATGAAATCTTGTACGTTCGCAAAAGCTTGTGAGCTACATAATTACATTGAGATGTGTTCCTGTTCAACTAAAACAGTTACTATTTGTATACCAAAAAAACATATTCTAACTGGGTAGGCTTTAGGAAAAAAGGAAACAAAAATAGTATGTTGAAAATCAATTTCATGAAGCAATAATTTGAATTAATGTTCCACCTTTCGGAATTTGAAAAAATTGAAAAACAATATCTACAGTGTTTTAGTTACAAAAACTAGCCAGCGGACTTTATCAGGATTAGTAGAAGAATAATCAATGTTTATATGATCATATATTTCTGAAAAAAAAAGAAAATGAAACCTTTCGGGGCAAAATGAAATGATTTGAAATAACTAAATAGAAATTAATTATTGATTTAAAAAAAATGTTGAATAGGAGACACAATAATAATAAGGTCATTGATTACAGAAGCACAAAGTAAAACGTCTAATGACTGTATCTAATATTTGAACTGTATGTAATTATTTAAAAAAATTGAGAAAAAAAAACACATTTTTAATAACAAGCTTTAAAATGTAATGAAAATAAGAAATTGAAACTACATTTACTTTCTTTCATAAAAGCTTTGGTTACTCATGAGATATTTTACACATTTTAGAAACACAATCTTTTATGAAAGAAACCAAATAGCTTGCTAATAGAAATGTCTTTTTTATATTTGTTTTATTTTCTACTTTTTAGAAATTCACAATCCAAATGCAGCAACTGAAATTATTAGTTTTAAAACGCTATTAGTAGCTCGTGAAAGATGATTATCCTTTCGTACCCCCAACGACTTCCCCCCCCCCTCCCCTAAGAAGGCAGCCATCCATGCCAACAGTTTACAGACGACAGCAACCAGATCAAGTAGATATTGAAAAACTATATTATCTGCCCCTAATAGCCTTTATTAGATCGACCGGCTCTACGATCTTTACTATTAAAAACATTCTCCTGAACGAAAACTCACCAGAATGTTAGGGTGATCGCGTCTAGCTAGTTATCTCCTTTTATGTTCTTGAATTTAGTAATCTATCGATTAATTAATCTTTTTCTATCTCCTTTTAGTTTCGAAACATTGTAACTAATTGTGTATGATTAATTAAACATCTAATTAAATAGATAATAGATAGACTTGTACTGCCATCAAAGTAGAACGTTTCTGGAAAGTTTGAACGATATAGCTGCGATGGAAGTGTGTCAAAACTGAGTTACAACGTTTGCCATAAACCCATAAAAAGCAATCAGACGTTGCGAACAAAATAAAAGCATGTAAAAATACCAGCGAATTAAATTATGTGCTAAGCTTCGGTGTTAAAATTATGGTTAAGGTCTAAGTGAGAATAATTCTTCCGTCGTTTACTGTTTCGGTTAACCGTTCTATTCTGGTTCCGGTTACATTTCCGTTTTTCAATAAGTTTCTTTTACTGTTCACATTTGCTTCTGATTAAGTTAAAAATCTAGCAAAATTTTTAGTTTTGCAACGTTTACATCAAATATATGTATATTTAAACAAGAAATGTACGGTCCAACTCTACCCTTATCTGATATTTTATTATGCACGACTGCCGTTCCACCTTTGTCTCAACATCGAAATTAAAGAAAATCATTGCATTTTTGAATGGTCTTCAATTGAAACCGTTTTGAAAACCTACAGTTTCAAAGTGTTTTTAACGCAAACCATCTAACAATATTTACATCCAAAGATGCCTGTGGAAAATTTTCTAGATCAGCTGACAGGCAAGGGCGATAAACATGCGCTAACGTTGACAGAACTTGTGACAAAAAATAGCCTGGCACATTCCATGCGCTGAACTAGGCGCCGATATGTAAGCCAAGAAGTACCTCATAACACTTTTTTATATATACTTAATAGATCAGTACTGGATATATATATTATATATATATATATATATATATATATATATATATATATATATATATATATATATATATATATATATATATATATATATATATATATATATATATATATATATTGCCGCGGGAATAGAAGAAATATATAAATATAAATAAATATATAAGAAGTCTTTCATCCATGCATTACCAATCGTATATTCTTAGACTCGTGACCTTGTTTCCTAAAAGTGAGTTATTTAAATGTAAACAATGCCTGCGATTGGATCATAAATATCGGGAAACGGGTTTACCTACACTACCGCATGAAAACCTTGAGTGTACATTAATTACTCACCGAAAAAATGAGGTAAAACACACTTCGGTGACCGCCCATGTGTCAGAGACGTAGAGGGGCGCTCTCAGGAGCCCCCGAAGCCCGATTACACTACTGCATAGGCGCAGCGTACGGCTCCTGGTTCCTTACAACTAACAGGCGCCATCGTGCTCATAAGATAACCCAGAGTGCCAAATAGCATACTGTTAAGAATGATGTAGATTTCGTTATCGCTAAAGTGACACAAATGAACAGGATTAACACATAAAGAAATTATTTGACGTGTTTTAAACATCAGTGTGACTGAAGCAATATGTTACTGATGGTCTATTATTAGATGCTCGATCTCAATTTTAGATTGAATTGTCTAAAAATAGATGCTACTTGCATCATTAGCAAAGTGACGAATCTATTTGGATTTTTTTAACGGACAAAAATTAATAACATCCCAGTTAATAATCTAAACTTGATTAATTTTTCTATTTATTAAAATAAAACGTATTAGGCCTATATGGCCCGCAGCGGCCCATGTGAGCCTTTGGGGGAAGAAACAGAAATTTTTATTTGCAGCCAAAACTCACCTTACCAGGGCGCCAGTGGAAAAGTCTGTAAACATAAATCCATGCATTGAGGAGGTTAATATGATTAGGAAAAATGGCAAGTCATTCATTTTAATAAACCTAAAGTTCAAGCTTTTTTTTACTGCAAATACCTTTTCAATTACTGGTCTTGCAGAGAACAAACAAATAACAGAGATGCTTCCTGGTATCTTGAATCAACTTGGAGCAGAGAGTTTAAACAGCTTGAAAAAATTAGCATCAACTGTAGCTAGTGCTGCTGACAGCAATAAGCAAACAACAGCAGATGTTGACGATGATGTCACAGAGCTTGCTGAGAACTTTGATGAAGCGTTCACAATTGATAATTGCGTAAAGGACCTTTAATTGTTTTATGCCAGGGGCTAACCTCAAAGCTGGTACAAATCCAATACTATAGTTTTATTTTGCATAAAATATATACACACAAAAAATATGATTCTCTCTTTACTAAAAGTTTATAAACCTTAAATACATTCTAGGCTTTGGGCTTAATACACGATTATTTATGTGTTAACGTAAAGATCTTCCATTTTATATATATAAATATATATATATATATATATATATATATATATATATATATATATATATATATGTGTGTGTGTGTGTGTGTGTGTGTGTGTGTGACGTTTTGTTTGTCTGCTGCTCCACTTATGGCTTTTATAAACATAAATTCACCAGAAACTAATGTCCTAGGCCCTTTCTGCGAGGTATCGAAAGAGGCCATAGCCGAGTAATCACCGCTAATACAATTTTGTTTGATGCACACTACACATACTTAGCTCCGCTATGACGGCTGTCATTTAAATAAGCATTTGTCACCTGGACAATCACGTGTGACCGACTCAGAACTATTGACTTTAGATGCTAGTTTTATTGTCCATGGAGGGTGGATGTCTTTCGCAAAGCGGGCGGCCACCTTGATACGAATGAGTGTTTTCATTGTTATTTCATTCCCTTTTATCTTGTTTCGTCCACCTGACATGGTAGGATTGTCTCATGTTTGGCAAACTCACTTACGCTTTCTATTGAAAAAGATCTTTAATCTTCGCATAGTATATTAGTAATCTTAATTTTAAAATCTTTTGTGCAATATGATAATTTTATACGGTAAGCATTTCTCACAATTATTATATAGACCTATAAACAATATTAAACATAGTAAACGCAACCGTATGACAGTCAATAAAAAAATATTTAGATCAACAATAGTCATCAAATACACTATTACAATTTTTGCTGTGAGATATTTTGTCTGAGATATTTTGTATGAGATCAATTGTCTATGGTATAATTTGTTCTGATATATTTTGTCCTGGTATTTTTTGTCCGTGAGATCATTTGTCCTTGAGATCATTTATCCTGAGTTCATTTGTCCGTGAGATATTTTGTCTGAGATAAATTTTCTGCGATCATTTGTCCTGAGATCATTTGTCACCGTAAAAAAAGGTTAATAACACGGCTTATGGGACATGAAATAACCACATTAAGAAAATTATTATATCTTGATATGTAATATGTCTACCTTCGCTCTCTCTCTCTCTTTCTCTCTGCTTAGAAATATTTCAAAATATTTTATAACGTTAGAATACAAACACACCAGGTAGAGTGACTGTTATAAAATTGGTGACGCCATCATAAACTAGGCCGATGACACTAGTTGTTGTGTAGCAAGGTGTACTGTGTTAAACAGAGCGAGACTTCAACTTTTATAGCGCCTGTGTCGGGCTAGAGATCAGATAGTAACAGGATGTATGACAACATTACAGTATGTGTGTAGTTATTACGTTGTGTTTTATTTCCTCTGAAACAGATGTGTAGACATTGGAGTTCTTATATTAATTAAATCTTTCCAATCTTAGAATATTGACAATAATAAAGGTAATCATGTTAAGTTAACAATATCATGTTGCATTATATTCTTCATTAAAAAAGTAATTATTTTTTGTCGACAGGTAAGAATTGGTGTTTGCTACAGTTCTTTAGAATCTATAGGCACATGGGTAGATTAAATGTTAATGTGTCACTGTTGAAACATTTTAAATCAAAACTGATAGGAATTTTAAATCAGAAACATTTCAATCATCAAATATAAAAGTGTTATATATAACCGCGAACGAGAATAGTTGCTTTAGGTTGCATGCAAATTAGGGAAGAAAGGTATTATGTATCTGGCTTGTATTAGCGTTAAATCTATTTGAGTAATTTAAGAAATAATGTTATCGATTAAGCAATACTCTATTTTAATTTTAACGCACATTTTTGTGTGCTGGTTACCTCACTTCATTGATGTAGTTTGTAAGTTACAATTTCGTTAATTGTACTATAAACACTATATCTCCATAAACGTTTCCCGTTTGTGGCCAATACGTTCCATCGTTAACCCTTCTTGATGGGAGCCTGACTCACGTCAGTAAAAGTAAAGGCTGCCAGATATATGCTAATTATTATATGCCACAAATGTCTTGGATAGGTTAGGTTAGGTTAGGATAGGATAGGATAGGATAGGTTAGGTTAGGTTAGGTTAGGTTAGGTTAGGTTAGGTTAGGTTAGGTTAGGTTAGGTTAGGTTAGGATAGGGTAGGGTAGGGTAGGATAGGTTAGGTTAGGTTAGGTTAGGTTAGGTTAGGTTAGGTTAGGTTAGGTTAGGTTAGGATAGGATAGGATAGGTTAGGTTAGGTTAGGTTAGGTTATGTTAGGTTAGGTTAGGTTAGGTTAGGTTAGGTTAGGTTAGGTTAGGTTAGGTTAGGTTAGGTTAGGTTAGGTTAGGTTAGGTTCGGTTCGGTTCGGTTAGGTTTAGTTTGGTTTGGTTTGGTTTGGTTTAGTTAGGTTAGGTTAGGTTAGGTTAGGTTAGGTTAGGTTAGGTTAGGTTAGGTTAGGTTAGGCTAGGTTAGGTTAGGTTAAGTTAGGTTAGGTTAGGTTAGGTTAGGTTAGGTTAGGTTACGTTAGGTTACGTTAGGTTAGGTTAGGTTAGGTTAGGTTAGGTTAGGTTAGGTTTGGTTTGGTTTAGTTAGGTTAGGTTAGGTTAGGTTAGGTTAGGTTAGGTTAGGTTTGGTTTGGTTTGGTTTGGTTTGGTTTGGTTAGGTTAGGTTCGGTTCGGTTCGGTTAGGTTAGGTTAGGTTAGGTTAGGTTAGGTTAGGTTAGCTTAGCTTAGCTTAGCTTAACTTAGCTGAGCTTAGCTGAGCTTAGCTTAGCTTAGCTTAGCTTAGCTTAGCTTAGCTTAGCTTAGCTTAGCTTAGCTTAGCTTAGCTTAGCTTAGCTTAGCTTAGCTTAGCTTAGCTTAGCTTAGCTTAGCTTAGCTTAGCTTAGCTTAGCTTAGCTTAGCTTAGCCTAGGTTAGGTTAGGTTAGGTTAGGTTAGGTTAGGTTAGGTTAGGTTAGGTTAGGTTAGGTTAGGTTAGGTTAGGTTAGGTTAGGTTAGGTTAGGTTAGGTTAGGTTAGGTTAGGTTAGGTTAGGTTAGGTACAGTACGGTACAGTACGGTACAGTACGGTACAGTACGGTACAGTACGGTACAGTACGGTACAGTACGGTACAGTACGGTACAGTGCGGTACAGTACGGTACAGTACGGTACAGTGAGGTACGGCACAGTACGGTACAGTACGGTACAGTACGGTACAGTACGGTACAGTACGGTGCAGTACGGTGCAGGACGGTACAGTACGGTACAGTACGGTACAGTACGGTGCAGTACGGTGCAGTACGGTACAGTACGGTACAGTACGGTACAGTACGGTACAGTACGGTGCAGTACGGTACAGTACGGTACAGTACAACGGAAATATTTTTTGATGTTTCATTTTAAATCTCTGTCCTGCTTTTGGTACAGTGAACCTTACGACGTCGTTTTGTAATGCTTTATCAAATGCAAATATAAACATCCGTTTCAAATGTCGTAGCATTGCAATGCACACAAATTGTTGAACCTTATGACGGTTATCTTTAGTATGGCAAACGTGCAGTATTTAGGTTATATTTGATCCAGGGGAAAATTTACTGATAAGAGCGATGTAATGTTAAAAGTGTTAGTTTTTTGGCCTAGTTCTTTTTTTTGTGATATCAACAGAGTTGATTTACCAAATTGAGTTTATATGTTCACAGAAAGCATGTTCTTTTGTTCATTTGTGTTGTGAAGTATGTATTTCTTAGGCTGTGTGTGGTAGTTTAATTGTATTAAGTTTAAAGCTTAATGCCATTAATATTGTAATTTGATGCACATGTTTCCTTTTTATTTTTGGATTAGCATAATTTTAAAGACTACTCATATTATTACTAATACTCTGTCGTTTATTTCATTTCGAACTTTTAGTATTTTTGCTTTGAGAGAAACCGGTTTTTGTTTTTACACTTAAATTAAGGATTGCATCTAATTACATTACATTAATTACAAGTCAATTGGTGATTTTATAATGGGAGTATTTTTGTCGAGGTTTGTTAAAGTTAGAACCATTTTTGGATTTAACCACAGAAGAAATAATACTACGCGAGATGTTTACCGTGAAGGCTGGGATGCTTTAATGAAGGCATCTAACGATGGGAATGATGCGTTAGTTGCAATTCTGCTCAGTCAGGGAAGTGATGTTAATTTGAAAAATTATGACGGAAATGACGCATTGATGTTGGCATCACGTAACGGGCATGAAGCATGTGTAGAATTGCTGCTAAATAAAGGAAGTGACGTTAATAGATGCAACAAACAAGGATGGAATTCTCTTCATTTAGCCACCATTAGAGGGAGCGAAAGGTGCGTTGAGCTACTTCTATCCAAAGGGAGCTGTGTTAATATAGTTGATAAAGATGGGTTTGATTCCTTGATGCTGGCTTCCGCAAAAGGGTATGAGAAATGCGTTGAGCAGCTTCTAAATAAAGGTAGTGATGTGAACAGGACGGATCAGAAAGGATGGAATGCCTTAATGTTAGCCTCTATGAAGGGTTATGATAAGTGTGCAGATTTATTAATCAAGCATGGATCCGATGTAAATAAATCAAAATTGGATAGGTGGGATGCATTAATGCTAGCATCCAGTAATGGACATGACAAATGCGTAGAGTTGCTTCTTGATGCTGGTTGTGATGTGAACGAAATCAAATCAGACGGCTGGAATGTTTTACTGCGAGCATCAAGTAACGGGGACTATAAAATTGTTGAGTTGTTACTAAATAGAGGATGTGATATAAACACACTGGACCAGTTTGGATGTGATGCGCTAATTCTAGCATCACGTAATGGGAATGCGAAATGCGTAGAATATCTTCTCGATCATGGGTGTGATGGGAATCATATTGTTCAAGATGGATGGGATGCTTTGATGTTTGCAGCTCACAATGGGCATGAAGATTGTCTCAAGCTTCTAATAGATGCGGGTTGTTGTCTAAGTCGTATTGACAGACACGGTAGGGATTCCACAAATCTAGCAGCACGCCAAGGACATTTAAAGTGTGTCAACGTCCTGATTAGTCACGTTATTGAAAAGGCTCTAGAAGGAGCAATTAATACAAACACTGAAACACACGCTACTAAAACATATGTTCATAATCAGTTAACCCAAAGAGAAAAATCCGTTATATACAACAAACTTTTCATTTTCCTAATGGAAGTCTTTTTTAGTGCATTCGAGTGTGGTCAGGGAAATGTAGTAGACATTTTGCTGAATTCGTTTCATAGAATAGCTGGTTATTATGATCTAACAAAAGAGATACATATTATCCCACGGATTTGTTGGTGCTTACAAGAATGTCTGAAATCCGAATTGCAAAAACAATGTAAGTATACACGAGTTTAATGTACTTTTTTAAGTCTTATTAAATGTACACATGAATAGGTATCTATCTATCTATCTATATATACATCAATGTATTTTTGTTTGTTTGTTTGTTTGTTTGTTTGTTTGTTTGTTTGTTTGTTTGTTTGTTTGTTTGTTTGTTTGTTTGAGTGTTTGTTTGCTTGTTTGTTTGTTTGTTTGTTTGTTTGTTTGTTTGTTTGTTTGTTTGTTTGTTTGTTTGTTTGTCTTTTATGCATTACTACATCTTTTATCCGATTGCCATGAAACTTTGATGAATTGATTAGAACGCTCTAGGTAAGGGTTCTTTTAAAAAATCATTTTTAATTTCGCAAAGGCGGCGCCACGGCAGGGTGCGATTTTTCACTGTATAAGGTATATACAAATATTAAAAGTGAATTGCAGTGGCAGTTCACACGATCGCCATGAAACCTTAGGAAGATGTTGAGAAAACTCCTGGGGAGGTTTCTGCGCAAAAAAACATTAGGCTGCGAACAAAATTTCAGTATCGACCCCAAAGGCTCACATGGGCCGCTGAGGGAAAGTAAAATATATTTTTTAATAATCAGAAAAATTAACAAATGCTAGATTATTAACTGGGTAGTTTCCTTTTATCTGTAAAAAAGCCCAAACAGTTAGTTATAAAGATTGAGCTTCTAAAATTACACAATTTGTAATGATAAGAAATTGCATCAGTCACACTTATTGTTGATAACACCTTAAATAATTTTTTTCTACGTGTCAAGAAAAAAAGCCAGCCTGTTGATTTGTGTAACTTTACCAAATGACGAAATCTGTATGATTGTTTCAGGATGCTATGTGGCGCTCTGGGTTATCATGTGAGCACTATGGCCCCTATGTTAGTGATGTAATCAACTCCCCAAAGTTTCGTGGAGATCGGATGGGTGCTTCGGGACGTGCAAGCTACTGGGCGCATGTTGAAGTTTTAACTCTGAATATATTAGTACCTCTTACCCGCTATGCAGGACGCACGATTAACGGATGCCAATTGCTAACTTAGCCACTCATATCAAATTTTAGTTATTTTGTTAATAGAACACTTCCCGGAAGTATTCTAACCACACTTGCGAAATTTAAAAAAAAGGTTGTTTTACAGAAACATCCCCTGGAGTGTTCTAATCAATTCTTTAAAGATTGATGGCGATCGGATGAACAGTGTAAAACCGCAATCGACTTTTATTTTGTATATAACTGATATAGAGAAAAACAAATCGCGCCCTGCCGGGGCGCCACCCTGCGAATTTTGATGATTTGTTTTCTGCAGAAACCTCCCCAGTAATGCATACATACAAACAGACACACACACATATATACATTACTTTTATATACATACATTCATGTGTATATTATTATATAAAATTGTCTGTGTGTATTGCTGAATATTTAGATTCATGTACATTGTAATAAACCTTCCCAGCCTCCAGCACCGTTGTATTTGCTAATATGATGAAAGAATTTCAAAATGAATTGAACGAGGACGACAGACGCAGGTTAAATGACATAGAAAGGTAACATACCAATATTTAAAAGTGTCTTGGCAATTGAAGCCTAACTGTTTATATTTTCCCATTTTGACAATCTCGTATATTAACTTGTTTTATTTATATTAATTAGCTCGCTCTCATCATACGCACAAATCGTGTCAAATAATCTTTTAAATAAGGTAATAATTTCACTATTTTTTCGTTTATTATAACTGAGAGACTTAAAACTATATTCAATGTAAGCATATTTTCGCAAAGTTGTCACAAATTGAAATTAATAAGTACAATTCTATAAATTCTAACACAACAGCAAAGTAAAACTTCTTAACGGTTATTTCAGGGAAAGGTAACTTTTCAATTCTTTTGAAACTATTTTTCATGTAAACTACATCTAGAAATCAAAATGTCAGGAGCTGTTTGAAAATTTGGAAACTACAACAAAGGAGTTCTTGTACATGACAACTTTTGAACCGCTGCATTTTTTCGTCTATCAAAAAAGTGTAACTAAATGTTACTGTGAAATAGTCAACACGTTCCATTATAAGCAGGACACTTTCTTTTCTCTGCTGCTGGATCTTAATTATCCAGGTGTGATTAACTAAATTTATTGAAAGCCAATTTACACGTCCATTAGTAAATAATAGAATGTAAATCTTAGAAGTATCACCTAACTATTTCGTTTAGGTATTATTAATTTTTTTAAAAATAACTAAACGACGATTTACACAAACAAGCAGTTTTAACACGATTTTATCTAGTAAAGAAAGTGAAATTTCTTTTGCTGCCTGTGTAGTAGAGTTCACTTACACACACACACATATATATATATATATATATATATATATATATATATATATATATATATATATATATATATATATATATGACGATGGCATTATACTTGAAAATTTGATTCGCACAATGCCAATGTCAATATTATTTTATTAAAGCAAGTAAATTCGAAATTTATAATTGTTTTATTTTTATTAAATATATTCATCAGATAGAACTCTGAATTGCTTAAGGAAAGCAAATCTTCTGAATATAACCGTGTCACGATTTTCATTCCATTTGGTTCGTGATTCACTGCTTCTTCTATGGGAAGGTTGCAAATTAAGTTTGCCATTCGCTACTGTAATTATATTTTGTTTGTTTTTAGTAAAGACTACGATGTTTCGTAAACGAATTATATTCGATAACAATAAACAAGTAACAAAAATGCATATATATCAATATAAATCATGCACATTTTATTAGCCCAATGCTATGTTAGAGTGCAAAATAATATAATTATATATAACATTTCCTTGATATCCCGCTTTTATTTTAAAACTCCCTTCGAATACAGTTTTAAAAGCATTAAACAATCTCTTATGCAAACTATAAAAAGCCTAAATGTATGTTAGTCCTTCAAATTTCTTAGACGGCAACTAAGTAAAACATGAACACAATTAATCTTTAATTGCTTTATGTTATACATTATTTAAATTGCTATATTATAACGTATTTTTTTATTTTACTTTTATTATTATTCTAGCGATTAGCGGAATGTAATTTTCTGGTGATAATCACAGACTATTTTAATTGTCACAAAAATGTGCAGGTAAACAATGAATTTTTAAGAAAAATTACAAAATTAAAACTTGCCTACAATTAGTACATCTACAAATGTATGCATAATAATAACTACAGCAAACACGATATCTCAGAACATTCATTTCAAATCAATATGAGGAGTAGAAAAATGAGCAGACCCTAATTCTAGTGTTTCAAATGAATCACAAATAACAAAATGGATTTAAAACAGAATAGTCATAAATTATATAAGAGAAAATGTCAATAAAATGCGTACAATGCATATATATATATATATATATATATATATATATATATATATATATATATATATATATATATATATATATATATATATATATATATATATATGTGGATGGACGGATGGACGGATATACAATTGTTTTATTTTTTTAGTGCATGGAATCAGATTGGATAACAGACGTCTTTTTAAACATGTTAAAATCGATGGCAGCTAGAAGAGAATTAAAAGAATATATGAAGACTAGCAGGCCAGTCAGTATTTATATAGTCCTATATATATATATATATATATATATATATATATATATATATATATATATATATATATATATATATATATATATACAGCTAAAGTGAATTATATGTCTCTATATGTATATATTTGTGTGTAGAACATGCAAATATTATCAAAATCGAGTTGATCGCCAATGTGGAGTATTTTTAAAGTATTTATTTTTGTACCAAAATATAAATTGATGTCTAGAAAAATCAAGATTGATCATTTTCAAAATATTTTTTATTTTAAAATTGATCGTTTTAATATACCTACCGTACAAAGAACACAATCTAACTGATTGTATTACCTTTCATAAAAGATTATAACTTTGTTTGAAAAAAAAATCAAAAATATATATCGCACTCGTAGGGAGGAGGGGTGTGCGTATATTTGTGACAGTGTGTGATCGTGAGCGGGGGCGGGGGTGGTTCAGATGGTACGACGTCACACTTTTGCATTATAAAAAAGCAATAGTATAAAACAATTTTAGACGTTATTTCGCGTTTTAGAAGTATTTTTTTTAATAAATTGTAATAGGAATTGATCAAAATAATCTATGTTGACAGTTATGACAAGATTTTGGAAAAATATCGATGTTTTAAGAAAAATTCAACTACTAGTTTGAGAGAGTTGTAGAATGAGGTTTGACTTCATTTTAGGGGGTGGGGTGCTAGCTTTTTTTGACGATGTGTGACGGAGAGGAGGGGGGAGGTAAAAATCGTCCTAAAATGCGTGACGTCTTTTATGGATGACCCATTGAAAAAACAAAGATATCTTCATTAACATTTTTTATTTATTTTATAAACTGTATATACGGGATCATGTCACTACCCATCCCTCCCGTCAATAAACTCCCGGACGTTCCCCCCCCCGTCATTACCACCGAATAATTACCCCCTGCCAATTACCCCCCTTTCAATTACCTCCGTCAAGTAGGACATTACCCCCTAGTCATAGATTAAGGTTCTGCTAGGGTTAGAGCTAGGGTTTGAATTTGGACTTGGTCTAGGGTTAGGCTTAGGTTTAGGGTTAGTGTTACAACTAGGGTTGTGATTATGGCTAGGATTAGGGTTAGGGTTATATCAATGTCTAGTGTTGGGTCAAATTTTGGGTTAACTTTAGGGTGAAGTAAAATCTTAGCATTTTTGTCTTTGTTTTAAGGTTAGGATTTAGGTAATATATAGGTACGAGCCGGCCCGCGGCATAACATACGCCGCTATTTAGTTGTTTCTAATTTTCAATAATTCATAATTTGTGAATTCGACAGTACCAACGCTGACACTGAAAATATTTCTTTAAAACACTATAAGTAACTCGTTAAGGACCATAACCCCCCCCCCTACGTTTAAAATCGTTGGCTCTGCTTGTAAACATTTAGAGTGAACACAGCTCACTAAAACCATGTAGGGGTGGGGAGGTAGGGAGAGCGTTTGCAGCTTGTTTTCTAACGGCTCGAAGAGGAGAATAATATATATAGATAGAGTTGGAGTTAGAATCGAAATTCTATTTTGGAGGATGGGAAGGGGGGGGGTAATTCCTCAGGGGGTAAATGACAAGTGGGTAATTTAGAGGGAGTAATTGCTCCGGGGGTAGGCCTATATACGGGGGGATGTCGGGTTAAAAATGTCTGGATGGGGAGGGGGGGGGGGGGTATTGTCCTGCTTAATATACTGCTTAATAATTATTGTTTTTAAACAATATCAGAATAAAAGCCGATTCTGTTTGCGTTTTTTGTGTTTGATTTTTTTTTTTTGGTTTCCGATTGCGTTATTGTTTTAATTGTAGTTTGTTTTCGCTGTTAGGCTTGTTCATACATTTGCGTTTATTTTTTATGTTTATGTTTCCGTTTGATATTGCCTTTGCGTTTATATTTGAGTTTATGCTTGTGTCCATGTTTTGATTAACTTCGCGTGTGCGTTTTTGTTTGATTTTGCATTAATTTTTGTGTTTGTGTTTATGCTTGCGTTTTTATTTATTTTTGCAGTTACGTTTGCGCTCATATTTGAGTTTGCGTTTATGATTATGTTAGTATTTTCGTTTGTATTTATGTTTCCGTTATGTTTGAGTTTGCTTCTGTGTTTATATTTTCTCAAGACTTCCACATCTTTATATAGACTTTTAACTGGTGATTTCAGACATTCTCAAATACTGCGGAGCGCAGGGTATATGATTTTTAATAAGTCAAAACCCTTTACAAAACATGTTTACTTCAAATATCAGTATATATATATATATATATATATATATATATATATATATATATATATATATATATATATATATATATATATATATATATATATATATACATATATATATATATATATATATATATATATATATATATATATACATATGTATAATTATATGTTCATATGTTTATCTTCTGGATTTAAAATATACTTTTATGTCTTCGATTCAAGGTACTTTTGAACATTTCGTTTCAAAATCCTTTAATCTCGCTTATGATTACACTATTGCTTTGGGCAGGCGAAGACAATACCATTACAGAATTTTTCAAAGGTAAATTGAATTTTAGTATATACACAGTTGAACGAGCAATTATTTTTGACGAGAATTTAGATACAAGAAATTGAATCCACGCGTTATGCTTTAAATTAAGAAACAAAATAACACGCAACTGATCCATAAATGCAGCGATTTAATGACTTCTGTCCAGCTCATTTCCGACACATTCTTTAAGGAAGGAATAATCAGACCTGCTTATGAATTTTAGCATTACTAAAATGTTTATGTATATATATATGTATGCATATATATATATACATATACATATACATATACATATACATATACATATACATATACATATACATATACATATACATATACATATATATATATATATATATATATATATATATATATATATATATATATATATATATATATATATATATATATAATTATTTATTTATTTATTTATTTATTTATATATGTAGTATAATTTTTTTAATATCCAGATGCTGATAAGAATAATAGAGAGATGTTTATTGAAAATATCAAAAGAACAGTACAGTTTGATGGAAGTTATTCTAGGGTAAATTAATTATAATTTATTTTTGTTACTATGAAGTAGAATAACGCTCTGATTTGATACTACATGTTTCATGGTCAAAAAAGTAGTAAAAATTTATTGAAGTATTGCCTGTTATTATTTTAGATTGTATTTAGCTGTTTTGAACGAAAACATATTTACACCGTAATTAGTAAGAAATCTCTGTTTTAAAGACAAACTGATGTTTTTTTTTCTCTAAAAAGTAAATCTTTTCAATAACAAAAAATATTGAATTTTAACACATGTTACAATTCAGCTTTGAATTAAAATAAACTGAAAATAAATTATTTTTGCAGGTTATGCCTTTAATAGAAACACTTACCAACATGCTAAAACAAAAGGAGCGTTTTGATACAATGTTAGTTATACGCGTCCTGAAGGATTTGACAGATACAGTTAACACTTTGCGCGAAATCTTAAGCAATGACAAATTAGCAGATGTTCTGATGAAGCTCAACACTAACAAAAACGAGGACATTTCTAAAGTTTTGAACACTATACTTTGGAAAACTGGAAATGCAACTGGGATGTTACCATTGAAACAAGGTTCAAATCTATAATTTCAGTCTTGTTTTTTAATCATTAATTGAAAGTTTAATGCCAAATGATTTATTTATTTTTAAAATAGGTTTAATACTATATAAGAGTCTAATAAAATAAGGACTGAACTAAAGAGTGAATGAAAGATTATACCATAAATAAATACAGCTTATAAGAACTAGTCGTCAGACTTATAGACAATCGCCAATTAGAAAAGCGAAGAATAACCAAAACATATAAATAGTATATTATTACTTACTACCTACGAATACAATATTGACATTTCTATATAAATACATGATTGTGTAATAAGAAAAATTGACTTGTTAAAAATTTTAGTCTATTGATTTAACGAAAAGTTTGGAACAGCGATCTATATTTTGTAGATATTTTGGTCTCTGAAAACTTCCCAAATCAATTCATAATAAAAGAAGAAGCGTTGGGCGAAGGAGCATTTGGCAGTGTACACCTAGTCACGGACCTTAACCGACCAGATGAAGAAAAATATGTTGCAAAACGGTTAAAAATTTCTGATTTTAAAAATAAGGTGAGTTGAATATAAACATTTGTAAGCAGATATTTTTATAAAATTTAATTGAATGTATAATGCATGTTAAATAATTTGCTAAATCTGTATAAGTAGAATATCAATGCATATCATAAGTCTGACAGTTTTAATTCGGTATATGAGCTATTCACTCTAGTTTTTGTACCATACTAGGTATTTACATTTCTATATTTTCGTCTATCGCCAGGACGTATTTACTAATGAAGCGATGATTCTCTTCAAGTTAAAACATAACAGGATTGTTGAATTTCACGGATTTCAAAAATTAGAAGATACCTTTCTGATTTTCTTAGAATATTTAAAAAACGTAATGTTTTATTATTTTTTAAGCCTCACTAAAAATACGAAATTCATATTTATATTTATTTATGATTACTCCTCTAATAAAAGCAATTTTTCTATTTATCTTCATGAACAATTAAATTCTAAACATCAGTTACATTTTGCATAGCTTACATTTTTAAAGCCTTAAAAGGCTATCTTCATCAAATGTGTTACTTTAATATAGACATTTATAAAAACAATAATCACAAATCAATGCAATTGTTATAGGGAACACTGGCATCTTTCGTCTCAAAAAACATTAAATTGGAAGAGCAGTTAACTCGACATTTTACAATACAAATACTTCAAGGAGTGGATTATTTACACCAAAATAAAATCTTACATAGAGACATTAAAGGTTTTTATAAATACTTTTCTTGTATTTAAATAGCTGCCATGAATGTTTGAGCACATACAAATAAATAGCTACAGTAAAATAATAATCATAATCTTTCCAGAAATGAGTTGAATATAAATCTTTGCAGGTAATAACGTTCTAATGGTAGACGACATGAACATAAAAATAACAGATTTTGGAATCTCTGAAATTATTGACGGTAGTGGAGTGGAAACAGAGAAAGGAACAATTCGGTATATGGCTCCAGAGGTGATTTATTCTGAAGGCGGCAAGATCACAAACTACACTAGTAGGGCTGATATATGGTAATCCTGTGTAGCATAATAAACATTGGACACCTGGTCTTAGCGCAAATAGTTTAGATTTGATAGATTGTTTGTGACACTGATATTTATGATAACTTGTAAAAGACATTACCTAGCATCTAGACTAAATTATAATTGCAAATGACATTTTTCCAGTTTACGCTACCACAGCATTTGTTTAAATTAGCTGCATTATTGTCGTAATACACAAAATCACTCTTATGCTTAGCTAATGCATTTTAAAAAATCGAAATAATATACAACGTAACATGTGGTTATAACACTAAACAGCAGTGTGTATATTAAAATATACACGATTTACTTTCAACATATCAAGAAGCGCATAAGAGACTATACTAGGCACAAATCTCAACGTCAGTAAACATTACATTCATAGTTTGTTCTTGCTAAGTCGTCTCTGCGCAATAAACTATGCAAACATATTTCTTGCTAGAGCTCATAATTTATTGTTTGACTGTTGTCAGATGTTTATACCAATAAAATGAAAAGGGAAGCGCTTCGAGAAAAACAATATTTAGTAACTATACAGTACATTGATAGTTTACCATTTAATTTTATTTAAATGTGTAAAATAAAAATTATTATGATAAGATATTAGAAAAACAAATTATAATTTACTATACATTGCATTGATAGTTCAACAATTGGTTTGCTTAATGTGTACATTGAATTAACGTTCTTCGTTTTTAATATTAAAATGATAGTCTTAACATAATTATACTAATTATTACGTCTAGGAAATACATTGTCAGCTTCCATCTCCAGGAGCGTTGGCTGTACAGTTGTAGAGATGTTGACAGGAAAACCACCAAACTCGTCACTTCTGACGCCACAGATTCCCGTACAGACTGTCGTGATTGGTGCACCACCAAGATATCAACTGCCTCAATCATCTTCTAGTTTGGTACTAGCGTTTTTAGACAGGATTTTTCAAAGAGAATCTAAGCTTAGACCAACAGCTGAATGGCTGTTAAAGAACGATCCGTTTTTAGAATAAATTTGTTGGTTTTTGAACAAGCTGTTAGGAAAGTTCAAGTTGATATAGTAAATATTTTTATTTAGATAGATTCTGAACATCAAACAAACAGTTGTAAAGGGTTAGTTACCATTAAGAATTGGATAGACAAATATGTTTTACAATAAATAAGATATAGATGTGAGTGTTTGTGATTTCATATTGTACATGGCTTGAAAAAAAAATGAAAAAAAATGTGCATTAGGCTGAAATGTTAACCTCGTATTGCAGTAATTTATATACGTTTCAACCCACACGTTTTCAATGCATTTTCTTTCCTAAATACAGCTTGATATATTTGTTGATTTGTATCGTTTACATTGCGTCTGTCTATTTTGAATTGACTATTTTTAAATTAAGCCTTTTCGGAACCATCATTTAAACTCATTTTCATAATTATGTGTTGAGTATAATTTGAATAAAATAATTTTATAATTTTTTCATGAATTAAAATATTTTTAAAAAAAAACGCATTCTACCCCTGATTGAAGTCAACCGGAGTGGCCACGGAAAGTAAAACAATGAAAAGCACAACAATTGTTTTCTATGATAAAATACACAATAACGGTCATTGGAGTATAGCGAAGTTGTTTATTTATATTAAATACTATAACATCCCCTATCACCACAACAACATAGTCGCTCTAAAACTCTGGGCTCCAAACCGTGTATTGACGAAAGTTGTACCCTATATAGCGCCGCCCATAAGAAACTTTAGTTTTCTTTTTCGCAGAAATATTCTCGGGAGTATTTTCATCTACTCCCTAAAGTTTCATGGCACTCGGATGAACCACATCCGAGTTTTATTTTTTATATACCGTGTATAGAGAAAAAAAATCTCCCCCCCCCCCCCCGGGGGCGCCACCCTTGCAATATTAAACAATATTTTTTTTGCAGAACCCTACCATTGAGTGATCTAATCATCTCCCCAAAGTTTCATGGTACACGGATAAACGATGTGAAACCGAAATAGACTTTTATTTTTATAAACCGTACATAGAGAAAAATTGCAGCCTCCCGTGGCGCAGCCCTTGCGAAATTAAAAAATGATTTTTTTTTTACAGAACCCTTCCCTGAATTGTTCTAATCAACTCCCCCAAAGTCTCATGGCTATCGGATAACGGTGTCACACCAAAATCGACTATTTTTTTTAAATATACCGTATATAGAGAAAGATCGCACCCTCCCGTGGCGCCGCCCTTGCGAAATTAAAAATGATTTTTTTACAGAACCCTTCCCAAGAGTGGTATAATGAACTCCCCAAAGTTTCATGCCTATCGGATGAACGGTGTCACTGCAATTCACTTTTATTATTTTTATATACCGTATATAGAGAAAAATCGGACCCTCCGGTGGCGCCGCCCTTGCGAAATTAAAACTTATCTTTTTACAGAACCCTTCCCTAGAGTGGTATAATGAGCTCCCCAAAGTCTCATGGCTATCCTCTAAGATTTCAGAAGCTCTTCAATAATAAATGATATAAAGCATTACGCTACAATTACTGCGTCAAGTATACGGAACAGCAGTTGATGCTTTCTGAACTAGGATCCGCATTTTAGTCCGCCAGTGGCATTCTCTATTGGTCACGTTGGGACAATTCCGTTCTTTATGGTCTGGCTTTCAACAGCTATAACAGGCGCCTGTATTTTGATCCATACAACATTCACTGGCAATGTGTCCTTGTTCATTACATTTGTAGCACCGAAAATATATTTTCCTGTTGCCACCCCCACACGAGTTTCCTTACTATCAGTGTTGTGACAGTATCTGATATGTGGTATAGTGTCCCTGAAGTCAACACATTGTAGCATCTACTGCTCAAGCTGACCTTGCTAACACGCCCACACATAGTTTGTACACCATCTTGTCCTGCCTGACTTTTGCCTGACCGGTTCCTGTTTCGTCTAGGGGTGGGACAGACTTTTGCGATATGACCTACTCCACCATATGTGTAGCACGTAATTTTTATTTAAACAAACTGTGTAACACAGATTTCTTTTAAACAAACCGTACAACTCAAATTTTATGTAAACAAACTGCAAGAAAGATTTTACTAGTTTTATGAATGGAAAGAACTTTAAACTTAAGTGTCCTCAATACCAAGTATAAAACAAACTTTAAAAACAAATGTTTTTTTGACGTCAAAATAAGTTTTAATGCTAATCTAACTATTAGGTTATAGCATTGGCATCGCGATCGTAATATTTTAAGAGTTGCGTGAGAGATTCGAAATTTTATAAATGATAGGCATTCTATGCATGCTTAAAAATAAGTTGAATAATTATAACATAATAATACGTACATTGCCTTGGCTTTAAACAAATCTTCAAAACAAAGGGTATAGACATTATACAAAGATTGTATTGCCGCCAAAACATTTCGCTTTACAAGACACACTTTGCTTATGTACTAACATTATAGAGTGACGCAAATCATAGCACGCGAAAGCTGATTTTAAATAAAATAGCCCAAACACATTTTAAAGCATTACGTAATGTATGTTTTATATCGATAATCTAATAGTAAAAAATGAAAATAATTATACTGAGTAGACTATTTTACATTATGTGTCTTCAAAGTACCCGATATTTTAAAAATGTAAACCATCGTATTTTACTATTAATCAGTTAAAGTAGTTAAACATGTTTGTTTTTCCTATTTACCTATTTGTTTTACCTGTTTGTTTTACCTATTTACATGTTTGGTTTAATAAAATTACGTATGTATCTTATAAGAACAAACTTTTATTCTGGCATTACCTGACTTAATAATGTTGTACATATTATCTGACTCATTAAAGTTGTACATAATTATTTTCCGGCCCATTAATGTTGTGTTGCACTCTATGCCAAATCTTCATTCTTTTCTTTTCTGTCTAGGTTTTTCTATTCTCGCCATCTGAAATAGTTTGCTGTCGGCATTCTATACATAATAACAGTATGTTGTCATTTTTTTTTCATCATCAGAAAAATGTTTGTCAAAATAGATAATTTATTTTTCAAAACCCAAAACGTTTTGTCAATTGAAGTAAACAATTTTATTTTTTAAACTTAAAGAAAACACCCATGACAAGAACATCGTATAATAAATTAAACAAATCAAAATTTGTTTAAGGTTTTACAACATATTTCAATCATCATATATATGCATAACTATTGTTTTTCCAAATCACAGTACCATTTTGTAGTTGTATTTATGCACAGTCATTTTTTATAATAGCTTAACAATTTTTACAAGATAATTAATGTGCACATTTCAAGGGTAGATACTGTAACATGTAATAGAATAAAATTTTATTTATCTCATTCACAAAACATGTAGGTATGCTACAATGTTAGAGAATATAAATATACCATACATCACTTGAATTTGTAAAAAAAAAATTGTTAACGGAAAAAAATTATGGCACACACTACCTTTTTATGAATTATACAACTTGACTGTAAATAATCGGACCTTATACAACACATAAAAGAATTTACAGTTTACAGGATATAAATTTCTAATACACTATTTCTTTAGACATGAAAATTGAGAGGGAGAGGATATATTCATGCCATACACAACATATGTTGGTAGTGTAATATTTAAGAAAATAGCCGAAATGAATAAACATGTCTTGACATTACGCCAGATGGCGGTTTAATAATAGTCATTGTTTATAGTGGCCAATAGCGCCATTTATACTTATCGCTTTGTATTTCTTATTTCAAATTTTAAAAAAATTAAGCTAATCAGCTTCGGCGTAAAACTCCCAAACGGTAATATTAACAAGAAAATTTGTTGTATTTAAAACATACAAAAATTTAATTTGTTTAAAAAATAAAACAGTAAATCTTTTAAGAATAAATGACTGTTATTGTGGAACATGATTTTCCTGCGCTAGTGTAAAGTTAAAGTTATATCTCGTTTTTTATTAGTACATTTGTATCCAATTTATTGGCTTCGTGTGTATCGTGAAAAATATAATTATGTTCAATTAAAATACGTTTTTCGTGTAACAAAAATATCCCATATAGCTGATGCATTTGTATTGTGTTTGGCTGATGACGACCTACTTTTTTTGTTCTATTTTTTTTTTATCCGACCGATGATTGTCTTAAACACTAGCTGCAGATATGTAACAGTAACTTTATCAAAGTATCATCAAGGTTAGTTAAAGTATATAAACCATAAAACATAATGCTTAATCAAAGTATATCAAGAATAAATCATCAAATTTAATTAAAATATTTAAAATATAAAACGTCAAGCTTAGGTAAGGTGTATTAGATATAACAGATCGAGATTAATTAAAGAATAAAAATTATAAAACATCACGCTTAGTTAAAGTATATAAACTTTAAACCCTCAAGCAGTGTTTCTTCCAGACTTTTTTCTCCGGGGGTGCACTTGAAATTTTCGGGGGGGGGGGGGGGCGGACAACAATTTCCGGGGGTGGGGGCGGACACTGTCAAAAGTATATATTTCCTATATAAATTTCATTTCGTTCGGGGGGGGGGGGGGGGTTGACTTTCTTCGAAGAGATGCCTGGAAGAAACTCTGCCTTCAAGGTTAGTTAAAAATAGAAGTTATAAAACATGAAGTTTAGGTAGAGTGTTTAAAACAACATTAATCTTAAATCATAAAGCTGTGTGCTTATTAAGATTGAATGAAAGCAAGCGTCTATCAATTATCACAGGAATTTGTAATGAAACCAAACGAAAATAAATATCACATGAACGCGTATCAAAGCGAAAAGACAATAAAATAACATATTTGAATCTTAAAAATGTGTATTCGTGTTTGTGTTTGCGTTTGTGTTTGCCTTTGCTTTTGCGTTTGTGTTATGTTTTTGTTTGTGTTTGTGTTTGGATTGTGTTTACATTGTGTGTGGATTGTGTTTGCGTTTTTGTTTTTTTTGTTTTTGTGTTTTCTTGTGTGTTTGTGTTAAGTTTTGTTGTTCCATGTTTATTACATTAAAAAAAGATTCACCTTGGGGGAGCACGGATATTCAGCTAGTCTTTAATATAAGGCTGGTGGTATTTTGTTAGTCTGTCCGTCATTCCGTCATTCCGTCACCACTATAGATTCTAGGATCATAAAAGTGAACATCAACTCACGCCCTGATTTTACTTGCATCGCATTGTCTTATTATAAGAAATGGAGTAGGACCTATTTATGTGCCGACTTTAATTTTTCTATAGTCGGCTAAATTTTCAAACGTTTGCATACGTCAACAAAATAACGTGAAGAAAATATTAAATACACACACATTGCTAAAACATATTAAACGGGTCAATTTCAATAACATGGATTCATTATAAGAGCAATAGTGTAAAAAAAAACACTAAAATGTTTAATAATTATGCCAGGGGAAGAAATTTAAAAAAAATAATTAACTCACACTAAATGTTTCTATTAAAGAATTTTTTAAAAATTCCGACTGTATTGATTATTTTGTTAGGGCTCCTACT